TCATAGGCCATTCTCCCCAGTTTCCTTACCTACTCCATGTACATCAGCTTAACCTCTTTTGCTCCAGTCTGATCAACCACAAGAGGCCTATTACTTGGCTTAGCCCCCAAGGCTGCCATGGGTCTGCTCTCCTCCCTCTCTGTCTATTGGTTTCCTGTCCAATGGAAGATGCCAAGGGCCTGGAAAGAAGTGATATCCCCAAAGGGATCCTTACAGCCAAGAGCAGCTTTGTGATTCTTCTCCAGGGCCAGGCTTTGATCTCTAATGAAAAGCTCAGCTTCCTCCAAGGAACAGACTTCCTGCTCTCAAAACACTGATGGGAGGGGACTTTGCATCCTAAGGAACCCTACTTGTCCATGAGTTTGAGACAATTAAACAGCAAGCTTCCAACAAGCAGCGAAGGGCCAGTTTTTAGCTCCAGCTGCCATCATGGACCAGGAGTAAGGGAAGGAAGCCTAGAGGGGTTGTTTAGAGACAGGATACAATTACAGAAGAAAACCTCTCTGCATAATGAGACAATATTGTGGGCATCGTCCATCCAAGAAGACACTTTTTCCTATCTAAACCAACGAGGTGTATGGACACATTCCTGCCACAGTCCTAACAAGGCATTTTGTGAAAGGCATCTACGGTCAGAAGACTGTACACTCCATGAAGGCCGAGCCTAAGTCTGTCACACCTCTACCCCTATTGTTTGGCACAGATCCTAATACATAGTAAGAACTTGCTGAATGAATGAATGAATGATCATGTACAGATAAGCATGGAGGAAGCATCCTCTTGCCAAAAACCCTAGTCATGTGCAAGCAGCTGCCTCGCCACATTTGAGCACTGCATGGAATTTCATGGTGTCAGAGGGACAAACAAAACTGAAGCGGATAAAGTGCAAGGTAGAAAGACTAGCTATGAAGAATTGCAGACAGAAAGACTCAGAATTCTTTGCAATGAGGATAGGGGCCCAGTTGCAAGTCCAACATGAACTGGGGAGACCCAGCGCGGAGGTGGTGAGTGTGCATCACAATCAACTAACAGAATAAGTGATTAGAGACCCAGAACAGAAGTCCTCATCCTGCCATTTCTGGCCAGGGAAGGAGGGGTCTGCACTGTGGATGGCATTGGGTGGCTTTTGCAAACCATGTAGAGTTCCTCTTAGGTCATGAGTTCAGATATTCTCCTACTATTGTATTTTAAATTAAGACTCAAGTAAATTAAAAACATAAAAAAGCAAATCCCCAAACCCCAATAACTTTCTTTTTGTTTTTTTCTTTTGAGATGCAATCTTGCTCTTGTTGCCCAGGCTAGAGTGCAGTGACACAATCTAGGCTCACTGCAACCTCTGCCTCCTGGGTTCAAGCAATTCTCCTTCCTCAGCATCCCAACTAACTGGGATTTTAGGCACATGCCACCACGCCTGGCTAATTTTTATATTTTTAGAGGAGACGGGGTTTCACCATGTTGGCCAGGCTGGTCTTGAACTCCTGACCTCAGGTGATCTGCCCTCCTGGGCCTCCCAAAGTGCTGGGATGTGAGCCACCACGTCCAACCCAAACCCCAATAACTTTCAAGACGTGCTAGGGGGGCTACCTGGACCCATTTCACATCAGCATTTTCTGGTGCTAAAAGGAGAGGACCCAGTTCAGAAAGCCACTTCGATGGGGCCCCTTCCTATTGAGGTGTGCAGAACACACACTAAGCTTACACAGCTTGGCCCTGTGAATACAGTGGATGGGATAGAGAGTGGCTTTATTCTTCTGCCTCCCATTTCCCCTGGGAGAACTGTTTCATCTGATGCCAACTTCTCTCGTGTCCTCCTCTGTTCCGCCCCAAGCCTGGCGCCCAGAGCCATCTGTTCTGATGTGCGATGACGGGGAAGAATTTAGAAGAGTTTGGACAGTGGCTTTTCTCAGGAGCAGTTATGTTTTAAGGAGCTGGTGCTATGAAGTTCTAATGGTGGGTTTTCAGGCAGCAACCAAGGAGCGGAAGTGCCGTGGGAGATCTTGGCCTCCCCGCGCCCCTGAAATCAGATCATATCAGTCAGTGTGTATCTGCCTGCTTTCAGAGGGAACCAGAATCAGTAAAATTAGATTCCGACGATCACTGCTCATGGGGCAGCCCTGTCTAGCACTCTAGGGTGTTGGGGAGGGGGTGTTGGCATGAGAGAAAGAGAAGATGGACGTCAGTGGAAATACATGAGAGAGAAAAGAAGGCAGGAAAGAGAGAAGGTTAAAGGAGAGCAGAGGAAGGGAGATAACAAAAGGAAGCAAAGAGGGAGAGGAGGGAGGCCGTGCCTGGGAAAGGCAGAGCTATAGGTTTCTTGGAGCTGGCAGATCCCATATACCTAACAAGCAACAGAGGCCCGTCTGTCTCCAGTTACCTCGAGGGGCTCCATCAGCCCCTTGGCTGCCCCTGCCTTGTGACTGCCCTGCCTCTCATCCCTGTTGGCCCATCCCAGGCAGACCTGGTCCAGCTGTGCACTGTCCACTCTGCTCATCGCTTAGTGTCATACAGTTATTTCAGACCAGCAGCCCTTCGACCCAGTCACTCCAGCTGGACCCAGGGGCCCCTCAGGCCAAGATTACGCCCGCTCCCCTAGAGGAGAGTCCTGGCAAGCTCTCAGGGGAGTGAGTTGGGTACCCACTTCCTGTCTCTGGACTTCAGCTTTCCAGTCTGCAAAATAAGCGTGTTGTGTCTTGCCTGCCCACCTGGCAAGGGGAATGCTACGAACCGCCCCCCATGAAAGTGTCTTATAAAGTATAGAGGCTTTTCACTCTTCACAGGCCCTGGCCTAGAGCTGGCTGCACAGGATGGCTCATTGATTTCCTTGAATTGGAGATCTTCTCAAACTCTGAGCACCTGCACCTCCCAAGTCCCCCTCTTCCCATCAAGCTCCAGCACCGTCTGTAGTAAAACACCAGGCAGGGGAGAGTATCCAGGGCACCCAGCAACAGGCCACCCAAGGGCAGCCTGTCAACAGAAGCACCCTGGCTGACAGCCTACTTTCTGGGGTGAACCCAGGGACATCAGAAAGATTCATGGTCCGGTAATAGCGTGCCCACTAGAGCCAAAAACTCTCCAGGAGGGAATCATTGCTTTGGATGAAGCATTGCTCCCTCTTACTTCTACTTTCAAAGTGCAAATGCCCATAAGAGGGCAACACACTAACTCCCTAATGTTTCCGAGTGTGGATGAACTTGCAAGATTTTCTGTGTGTCCAGACAGAATGGAAAACCATGGAGATGCTGAATGAGTTGGGAAGCCTAGGAGAGAAAAACGAACCTTCTCCCCTTCACAGTCCTGCCCCCCGCCCTCAGCCCAGAGCATGAACACATCCAGTTAATAGCTCTTCTCTGGGTCTGTAACTGTCTTGCCACATAATTGAATTGGATTCAGAACTTGACTTAATCAATCACCAAGTATTTACTGCATGCCTTCTACGTATGAGGCATTGTTCTAGGTGCTAGGGATGCAGCCGTGATCAAGCAGGTTAAAAATCCTTGCCCTCGTGGAACTGCAGTCAAGTTCTGTCCTGTCCAATGTGGTTACCAAATGTGAAATGTAGGTAGTTCAAATTCACAGGTTCTGTCGTATGTAAAACAGACGCAAGATTTCAGACTTAGTACAAACAAAATAATGTAAAAGAATTAGTAACTTTTAAAATTAATTAATTTAAAAATTAATTAAATACCGATAATATTTTGGATGCCATTAAAATTATTATGTATAATATTATAAAATTATTATGTATATTATTAAATTTAATTTCCCATTTTTAATTTTTTTTTTGAGACAGTGTCTTGACCCTGTCACCCAGGCTGGAGTGCAGTGGCATAATCACAGCTCACTGCAGTCTAGACCTCCTGGGCTCAAGTGATCCTCCCACCTCAGCCTCCTAAGTAACTGGGACTACAGGCATGTGCCAGTAGTCACATACTAATTTTTTTATTTTTTATTTTTTGTAGAGATGGGGGTCTCACTATGTTGCACAAGCTGGTCTCAGACTCCTGGCCTCAGGCGATCCTCCTGCCTTCAAGTGCTATGATTACAGACATAAGCCACCATGCTTAGCCTGTTTTCACTTTTTTAATGTGGCTGCTTGAAAAATTTAAATTATATATGTGTCTTACATTATACATATATAATTACATTATATATGACATTATACATATGCATATTGGACAGCAGTGGCCTCTCCAATAAGTAGATAATATTTTGAGAAATTATTTTAAGAAAATATTTCGAGAAATAGTTTAAGAAAATATGTCATTTATTGATGATGATAGACCTATGGAAAAAATGAACCAGGGAAGAAGGAAAGGGTTGGGGGAGTTCCATTTTAAATATGACTGCCAGGAGAACCTTCACTGAGAAGATAACTTTTGTATAAAGAGCTGAAGGAGGTGAAGGGCTGAGCAGGCAGATATCAAGGCAAAGTGCTTTCTGGGCAGACAGAACTGCGCATGCAAAGACCCTCCGGTGAGAGCAAGTCTGGCATTTTGAGAAAGATCAGGAGGTTTGAGTGGTAGGAGTTTAAGTGAGACTGATCTTGGGGACTGGGAAGACAGATGATGCGGGACCTCACTGGTCATTAGAGGATGTTGCCTTTGACACTGAGGAGGGTATCTAAGCAGAAAAGTGGCAGGTCTTGACTCCCTGGCTGCTGAATGGAACAGGCTGCAGAAGGCAAAGGTAAGAAGCAGGGACCAGGCAAGAGATGATGGTTTCTTAGACCAGGGTAGCAATGGGGACAAGGTGAAAGGAATGATCAGATCCAAAATGTATTTCATTTCAAAGATACAAGTGACAAGATTTGCTCATGGATTGGATGTAAAACCTGAGAGACAGAGGACAAGATGGACTCCATATCTTGCTTGCTAAGCAACTAGAAGATTGGTATCACTGATGGTTTGCCAAAATGGCCTCAATTTCTCCCTCCCTGAATGCTCCCCCTCCCATACAAGCTCCTCCCATTAAAGGCAGAGTTTACTTTCCCACCCCTTGCATCTGGGCATGGCCATGTGACTGACTTAGGCCAATAGAATGTAGCAGAAGTGATATCATGTCAATTCTGAGCCTAGGCCTCAAGAGACCTTGCAGTTTCCACTCTCTCTTGGTCTCCTGCCTCTACCATAAGAACAAACCCAAGCTAACCTACTGGAGAAGGAGAGACCATGTGATGCACAAATAAACTGTCCTAGACCCATCTCTCCCAGCTGACCACAGCTAAGTGAGTGAACCCAATAAGACCAAAAGGACTTCCCAGCTGAGCCCAACCCAAATTTTCAACCCACTGAATTGTGAGCTGCATAAATGGTTGTTGTTTTAAGGCCAAGATTTGGAGTGGTTGTTATACAGAAAAAGCTAACTGACACAGATGGTGTTGCCGTTTATTGAGGTGGGGACTTAATTTTGAGTTGTGCTCTCATTGTTTTGAATGTGACTCTGAGTGCTTAGAGAGCAAAGTCCTCATCTTGTCTCCCTGAAACACCCAGAGCACCCTCAGGACAGGGCTGGATGCAATCTGGTGCTTGGTGGATGCTTATGGATGGAGAGGCGGAAGGATGGATGACTTATTCATTGGCTTCCTTATCACGAGCCAGGTTTCTGCATCACCCTTCTCCTCACAAAACCAGAAGAGCTTTAAATGCCTCCTGCCGCCCTGCCCACTGCTCTCTCAAGAGTTTGTAGTTGAACGTTGATTTCCTAGAGCTTTCCTGCAGATCCTTGTGTTTCCTTGAGAACGCAAAGCACTGATTTTTAGCCTCGATTTTGACCTCCCACACCCAGCCTTTTCCCAGACGTGCTGGCAAATAGACAAATCAATTGTTTTGAGTTTTTCTTCCTCTCCGCCCCCATGTTATGTTAATTAGCCATGAAAATGCCAGCAGGAAAGCAAGGAAGGCTGAGGACAAACCCTAGCCCTGAGTGGCCAGCTGGTGCAGCACTGGGTGTCGTAGCTCCTCCATCCAAAATTGATTTCCATTTCCAAGGCTTCAGGCACTGTTTCCTGACTCCCTGCTTACCTCTCCTTCCACCTGGCACTCCAGGTCCCTCAGGAACTCTGCTTCAGTCCCTCTGTGATGATCACAGTCATATCAGCATATCAATTTACCTCTCACAAAGCTTTTCCCAAATTCAGCCCCACAACCATCCAGTGCAATGAATTGTGGACATTATTCCCATTTTAGAGATGAAGAAACTGAGGCTTAAGGGTTAGAAAGACTTGCTCAGCATTACTTGGCCCAGGTTGGGAATCTGGAACCTGTTTGTCTGATTCTAAGCCTGTCTTTCTTTCACTGTCAGCACCATTAAAACATGTTCCCAATAAAAGACCAAGTGCACTGGGGAGGGGGCTCCTTCAGCAACTTGCTGGTAAGGCCATTGCCTTGGGGCTCTCGTGGGTATTCACGCAGCTCAGCTCAGCCCCTGCTCCCTCACACATCCTCCCGCAGCCCCAGGGGGAAGTAAATGCTCCCCATTTGCAAGGCTGTGATGGCACAAAATGAAAATGCTTTCTAGGAGCAAAATGGCTCCCAACAAACCTAATGTGGCCATTCATATGGCCTTTCCTAGAGGACTCTGCAGCCTACCCTCCACACTGTGGCAAAGGAGGCCCTGAGGACCAGGATTCCACTTGCTGTGTTTGCCCTTCTGGAGCCCCAAGGCAGTGTGTTCGTGCATGTGTCTGTGAGCGTGCATCTGTGTGGTATTGTGTCTGTGTATTGTGTGAGATGTGGTATGAGCATGAATGTGTGCATGAATGTATAAGCATGTGTGTGCATAGTGTATATATGGATACGGGCATGTGTGAGCATGTGTGTGCTATGAGCGTGCATCTGTGTGTGTGGTATTATGTGGGATGTGGTATGGGCATGAATGTGTGTGTGAGTGTATAAGCATGTGTTTGTGTGGTATGTGTATGGATATGGGCATGTGTGAGCATATGTGTGCATGTGCCTGGGATTTGTGTGACTGTGTATGTGTTCATGTGCAGGTATATGTCTATTCATGGATATGTGCATGTACACACATGTTGTGGCACCTGTGATGTGTGTGTACGTGTGTGCACGTGTGTGTGTGCATGCATAGAGGGCAGCTGTGGTCTGAGTCTCCACAACCTGCCCCATGAACTGCTGGAGTTAGTCAGGCCTGCCTGTAAGCAGCATCTACACAGACCCCTGGTTTGCAAGGCTCATGATTTTTATAAACATCTGCTGTTTACCAACACAGTGTAGGGGGATTCAAGCAGTTTCCCTTAAGGAAGCAGTGAACACAGGTGCCCAGAGAGTCAGGCAGGTTGTGTTCAGGTCCCGACTTAATCAGTCACTCACTATGTGGCCTTAGGCAAGCAGCCTAGCCTCTCTGAGTCTCAGCTTCCTGACCTGTAAAATGAGCATAACGATGTTGCCATCTCTACCTCCAGAAGGCCGTGGCTTCAGCTAAGAGCTGCTGGAGGACGGCGCTTTGACACTTGAAGAGCACCCTACACAAATGAGGCCTGATGTTAAGGACGTCATGACACACATTTACAAGAGAGGAACCCAAGCATGCTGCATGCCTTTGAGTTAAATTATGTGGTTTAGATTACAGTGTATATGCAGCAAAAGTAAATATGCAGATGATTTCTGGAAGGATCCACGAGACCTGACAACAGGGACTCCCCAGGAAGAGAAAGCCTGGGTGGCTGGGGCAGGCGGGGAGTGCCTTTCTCTGTATAGGTACATCCTTTTGCACCACAGGGATTCTTACCATGTGCATATGTATGTGCTTTTGAAAACACACAGAATCATTTTTAAGAGTAAAATGATTTTTAAATGTAAGTAGAGCAAAGTGGAAAAGGTGCTGCTCTCCTGCCCTTCCTCATCCCCACCCCTTTGCCCTGGGTTCCCAGGGCCTGCCACAACTGTCTCCTACTCCGCTCCCCAAATTTCAGCTCTCCGTCTCTCCCCAGTTAAGAGATAAGTAAACTCAGACTCAAAGAAAGTAAACAACTTGCTATCACATAGCCCAGGTCTCAGGGCTAATAAGACGAGGCAGAGCGCTTTCCACAGAGCCTGCAGAACCCTGTAAGACTCCACACCCAGGAAGTGTCCTTTCACCCCACTCAGAACTGACTATAAAGTTCAAGGAAGGCCCTACAAGCCTGTAGGTTTGAGCACCATGGGACAGGCTAATGCAGTTAGACTTGGGGATGGAAGTGTCTTCCCAGGGCCCCAGGGATGTCACCACATGGTCCACTTCTGGATAGGGCTGGGTTTGAGCGATGCTGCTTTATAAAACTCGAGGATCAGTACCCTTGGAACGGGTCGGGGCAGCCTGCCTTATTCTAATTCCACTTGAGAGAGAAGAGGTCCTGGCAGAGTTCCCAGCTTGCAATGTTTTAACCAAACAATTTTGAAAACTGTGTTCAAGATCTGTCACCCAAAGCAACAAACTTGAACAGAGTGCCACAGAGTTGAGCTCCCCCTGCCCCCAGCTAAGGCAGGAAGACTCCTGGAACTCCTCCAGCTTCTCGGAGAGGGGGCTGTGTTGTTTGACGTGGAAGCATCCCTCATTCTTTGCATCCAAAGACCTCTGGAATTCTGGGGGATTTGGAGGGTCATAGTCAGTGAGAGAGGGAGGACCTGCCAGTGACCTTGACCAAGGGCTCCCCTTTGGTCCTCAATCCTTATCTATAACAAGATATGGCAGCCCCTCGCCCACATACACGTGTGCCGTCTGGAGCATGGAAGGTGGTCACGTTGCGTTGGCTGTTAGCAGCATCTCCACTTCTGTGATGGCTCCTGCCCAAGGTGGCCTTGTCCTTTTCTAAGGGTTGGGAGGTGTGGGGGTAGTCAGGACCACCAGCAATTCCCTTCCGGCCTGACCACATGCTCTGGAGGGAGAACATTTTACAGCCAGCTACTAGAGTAGGAAGAGGAGAGGAAGTATGACAAGTCAGAAGAAACTGACCAGCCTGGCAGCCTTATCAGCAGCATGACCGGACATCGGCCTCCCTGAGCCCCTCCCACTACCCTCTGCAGCACTCAGTATGAGGCTCAGCTCCTAGCGGAACATTTGGCAGGAGGGTGGCTGCTTTCGGCTCTGTTTTCAGAGCCTGACAGGCAGCTGTGAGCTGCTACCAAGAGTCCAGACAGCAGCAGACAGGCAGGGACATGTTTGCCTGCAGGCTTAGTGGTGAGTCTCTGGGGCTGCCAGGCAACCAAGAGACCAAGGCTGTGGGTCTGCCTCTGGCCAACTAGGCAACCAGCCCAAACCAGCCCTTGACCCCATGGCCCCAGGAGTCCATCCTTCCCCAAACTGGGACATGTGATCATGGCAGGATTCGTGGGCAGTTGCCCAATTTGAGATCTGATTTTGAAGGATGGAGTTGGGAGGACTTAAACCTTGGGGGAAGGGGGCTGCGCTTTGATTCCCAGAGCTCTGAGATGAGCCGTTCTCTCCCGCTGAGCTGAGATCTGCACTTGGGGAAGAGAGGGCGTTTAAAAATAGCTCCGACTGACTTGAATACCTCTGCTCCCTTCCTGCTGCAAGTCAGATCCAATTACTCTGCTGACAAGAGGCTTTTAGCCCAGGGAGGCTGGCATCATCGACCCTACTCCAGGGAGCTGGGCTCCATGGTGCCCCTGCCCTTCCTCCTCTCACTGGGCATCCACAGGTCCAGGGAGGTGTAAAGATCATACACACACACACACACACACACACACACACACACACACAAACACACACGGCTCCGCCCCAGGCTGTGATTCCTGCACGTCCAGCTACTCAACTGAATCTGACTTGCTGGGGTCCCCCTTTTGTTAACATTGTGTGAGCAGCCCCAAATGTCTGACCCATACCTGAGATTGCTTCAGTAGGCCCTCACCCTTGGAACACGAAGACTTTTTCAAGGTCCTCCACTAAGATCCAAGTGTCACCCCCTGGAATGTGCTCTGGTCACAGCTGGGGACAGGAAACTAGTACACACATAGAACGTCAGCTCCAGGAGGCAGAACCTCAGCTGTCCAGCTCACTGCTGGCACATAGTCAGGACTTACTAAATGTGTGTTGAAATGAATCAATCAATAGAAAAGGGGCCTTGGCGAGAAAATGCAAATGGCTCCATGCAAATCCTTGCTCAACTGCAAGAGTGAAAATTAATCAGCTGACTCAGAAGCGCACATCCTATTAAGGTTAGTCGCATAGTGTCATCTCATCTGCAAAGGCCAAGTGCAGAGGCCCCTAGGAAATCTCTTTCCTTTCTCCAGCCAGTGCCACCATAATTATCTTTTAGCAAACTCACCCAACCCAAAGCCACTTGCCAGTGACCCTATTAAACCAGCAAATGCCAAGAGCTAAGCTCTCCCCTACAAGGCCTCAACCTGCCTTCCCCAAGGGGCTGTCCTCTTCTTTCTACCCTGGCTCTCTCCCTTCATTCAACTCTCAAAATGATCAGGTACTCAGGGAATGCCAAAAAAGAAAGCTGTCATTAGGGGGTGCCTGAGTCCATCAGGCATGTCGTATCTGCCTTGTCTATGACACCTGTCACTTTTCACTTTGGGAGCCTCACCTCAGCAACTTCCCCAGAGTGGAGACAGAGTCTTGGGCATCTGCCACCCATGCACGGCCAGCACCTGACACACACTGGTGCCCAGGATATGTTTGATGAATAAATAATTGGGGGTGGGGCAGGGGTTCCCGTACACATTACAAAGGCATGTGTAGAGTCCAGGGATGGCTTGCTGGCCATTTTCATGAGCCTGGACAGTTGAAGAAATGATGCTTAAAGCGAGTTTACCATGCGGCAGCCAAATCAATGAGAACAGGAGTAATGAAGGCACTCCTGGTCACGGGGCGTGTTTGCTTCCTTTGTGACGGATTTCCACTTCTTTCTTTGTCAGGGAGGCTCCCCCTCAGTCAGGCCCATGGACAATTATTGGTGATAGATTTGAGTGTTTCTGGGCATGGCTCCAGGTCATAACCAAGATCTAGGCCCTGCCAGCATCTTCCTGGGATGAAATTGACAGCAAGTGTAAGAAGGCTTGCTCAGCTCATTAATGGTGAGCCTTCAGCTGAGGCTGTCAGCACAACCCTGGATGGTGAGTTTGCCCCTCAGTCTCACAGCCTAATGTATTCAATCCTTCACTATTGCACACACAGCTGGCTGGCTGGCTGGCTGCCTCCTCCTCCACCTTAACTGTGGGAAGCCAGGTGTGTGTACACAGAAGCTGGAATGATGATAGTTGCAGGCACAGCACCGGTAAGACATTGAGCACCTGAAACACATCCTCTGTCTCTCATTTTCTCTCTCCCTCTTATTAGGGGTAGCTGGAGAGCAGAAAAGCCAAGGTGAGAGGAGGCAGCAGCGCTGAGGTGCAAGGAGTGGAGCAAGAAGCCAAGTTTGGCTAAGCATTTGGGGCCTTAAGAAATGGGATCTGACCAGAGTGGGGCCCTGAGGTCATGTGACCTTAGAAGTGGAAGATGTGTTGATCGCTTGATCACCAAGACCTCCCACCCACTACTCCTCACCACATAAGTAAAACAGCAGGGCCCACATTTGGCAGTAAGATTAAAATTTGGTACAACCTCTAAGGAGAGTGATTTGGCAACGACCATGAAAATCATAAATGCTCAAACCCTGTTGATACATTTTCCTTGGCATCCTAAAGAAAAAATGCATATGACTCCATGCAGATACATGTACCAAATGTGCACTGTAGCTGGTAAGCACAAAAGACTGGGAACAACCAAATGTCCATCAATAGGAGAGCATGCATTATCGGGGAATACTGTGCAGTCATGAGAAAGAATGACAGTAATCTCCAGGACACCTTGAAGTGAAGAAAGCAAGAAGCCTGAAGAGTCCATCTACCCTGAATCCTCCCTTTTACAAAAGGGAAGCCAAAGACCCAGAGTGAGGATTGAGTGGCAGAAAGCCCCGCCTCTACTGCTCAGAGGCAAGTTCAATACCAGGACTGTGACTGCCTGACTCCCAGACCAGAGGTCCCTCCTCTGCACCACAGCTTCCACTCTGGTTAGATGTGGCCAGGAGCCCATAACCCTCCCACACCCCCTGCCTCCCACAATCCCAGTACTCAGTGACTCAGAGACAGACGTCTCTTCTACTGTCAAATCCAGATTCTCAGTATCATTGCTTCACTTCATTTCTTCCTGCCCTGTCCTCAGCTAAACTAAGGAAGAGGCATCACCTCTTTACCTGCAGATAGGCCAAACCGCAAAGGATCCCTTGAGCTCCTTCTTTCTCTCTTTCTGGGAAGATCATGTCAGTCACATGGGGCTTGTTTGTTCTAGATCACCATGGCTGCTCCCAGGACAGCATCTGTCCTGGTCAGGGTATCTCATATTGCTGTTTCCCTTTTATCTTCTGAAGAGGAAAATAAATTTGCAGACTATCCTTTCTTTTGAGGCATTAACATTCTTCTCCTAGATCTTGAAGGCTTGCAGTTGTAACAATAACTGACATTTTTTTTTTTTTTTTTTTGAGCCAGAGTCTTGCTCTGTCGCCCAAGCTGAAGTGCAGTGGCGCAATTTTGGTTCACTGCACCTCCGCCTTCTGGGTTCAAACAATTCTCCTGCCTCAGCCTCCCTAGTAACTGAGACAACAGGCATGTACCACCATGCCCAGCTAATTTTTTATATTTTTAGTAGAGACGGGGTCTCACCATATTGGCCAGGCTGGTCTCGAACTCCTGATCTTGTGATCCACCTGCCTTGGACTCCCAAAGTGCTGAGATTACAGGTGTGAGTTACCGTGCCCAGCCAATGGCTGACATTTCTGTCGCACCCTCTGTATGCCAGGCACCATTAGGTGCTCCACATATATTAATTCATTTAATCCTCAGAACTCCATGATATAGCTACCATTATTATCTCCATTTAACCATTGAGGGGACCAAGGCTGAGAGAGGTCCAGTAAGTTGCCCAAGGACAAGCTTTAAGTAGAAAATGGTCCTGTGGGCAGCTAGGCAATGAACAAGGAACGGAGACTTGAAACAAAAAACACAACTTGCAGAAAGCCCTCTGTGATGACTCGGAAAAGAGATAATCGTACCACTGGGATGAAGGCTCGTACAGATGATGGAGGCCCAATGTCTTTTGACACCAGCTCATTCACACCCATCTGTTCCAAGATAAGGCCACAGACAAGCTGATCTGACAACAATTCCCTATTGGCCGGCGTGTTCTAAGGATGTGACTTTAGACTGTTCCAGCAACCCCTCAAATTCTGACCAAGATGATGCTCTAATTAACTCCAGCCCCCAAACTCTGTGAGTGTCCTCATATAATGCCTGCTTTGGGATGCCCCACAGTTCCCATGATGAGCCCTCTCCCTCCTTGTGGCAGGCTGATAACCCTAACTCTGACTACTGGTAAGTTCCTCACGGCCCTCTGCTGGTAAGTTTTAGTGGGTTAGACCTGGAATTTGAAGATCCTGTGTGTTCTTTAACCTGTATGGACATTCTGCTGCCTCCAGACTGGCATTGCAGGTACGTGTGCCAGGCTGACACCAGTAACATCAGCCTAAGGCCAACTCTGGCTCTGGGTAGAAGGGAGGTGGGGCCAAGAGATGACAGGACAAGGCTGGCTCCTTGGCAGATGCCCATCTTCTCAGTAGCCCCTTCACGGTTTCTTAAAGTAGACCTAAGATACCTCCCGCTGGCCTTCCCTGAATCGGTAGCCTCCATCACAGCCTCTTCATCAGCCCCTCCACAATTCCCTGCTTTCTCCAGGGCAGACTCCTGAACCGAGAGGTCATTCCTGACTCCAATCCTCTGCCCCGACCTACCTGAGCTACTTCCAGGCCCCCGGGCATCCTGGAGATTCCCCACCAACAAATACCTCCCTAGGCTTTTTTCCCCAATCCCTCCCACCCCATTCATGCTGTTCAAACTGACTCAGATTTCAAAGCTCAGCTGCTATGCCACCTCCCCCAGGAAGATTTCCCTGACCACCTCACTGGATCTTTGCCGCTGTGAATTCCTGAAGACGCTACCAATCTCTGTGCTTCTCAATACACCAGGCTCTCCAAGCAGCCTTGTAATTTAATGATTTAATACGTGTGGTATCACCCAGCTTTTCATATGGGTGGATCTCATCATTCCAACTAGAATGTAAGTTCTCTAAACATAGGATTCTCCAGACATGTCTCAAAGCACTGAGCCCAGAACCAGCTCCCAGCATGTGCTCCCCTGCTCTTAATTTTTAAAATCCAACTATGAATAGCAACTGTGACTCATTTTTCCCATGCAAGCCACGGCTAGAGCCTCAGGTCTGGAAATGCCCTCTGCATTACCAGCGGTTAGCCTCCAACTTCAAAAATGAAACAGAAAAAAAAAAAAAAAAAAAAAAAAAAAAAAAAAAAAAAAAAAAAAAAAAAACACCACTAAACAAGACCTCTGCCTAGGGAGAAAATCTAGAAGGAAGAACATCAACAGGCTAGCACTGTCCTGTCGGGTGACAGGATTAGAAATGATATTTGGGGAGAGAAAAAAGTCATATGATAATAATGATGATGATGACAATATGTCCCAAACAAAGAAAAAACACATAAGCAAGCAAGAAAGGGCCAATCCCCATGCCAGCCATGGGCAGCAATGCTCAGTGGGTGTCAGGAGACTGGTTAGGAGGAGAAGACATAGTACCCCCAAAAGACTGGGTAGATTTGAAGCTGGACTCTCAGGCTGGAGCTGATCTCCCACTCTGTGGGTTGAAAACTGCACAGGCCCCAAAACGGGGAGCAGGAGCCCTGGCCACTGACCCCAGAGCTTCAAATAGATCTCACACTCAGGGGAATTCAAGGCAAATCAAAGGCAGCCCAACTTTGTGTGGTAGGATGCAATTTATAGTACTCATTTCCCTCCAAGAGGTGGTAGAGGCCGAGGCAAAAGTCAAGTTCAAGAAGGTTTTAGATAATTCTTAAATAAAAGCTCCATAAATAGTTATTTTTAAAGGGAAACTAGGCTGTTCAGGGACATGATGAGAGTGATCTCAGGAAAGACAGCTGCTCTTTGCTTAACCTATCTTTGTGCGTCCCCATCAGGGTCAGGATTCTGGGCTAGAGGTGCCAAAGCCTGGAGCTGCCTGACATCTTGCCCTCAGCATCCACTCCCAACCACCAGCCAGGCCCAGAGCCAGGGAGGCTGCTCCCTGTGGGACAGGACAAGGAGCAGGAGCAGCCCCTATAGCCCAACACCTGGTGGCGGGCCATGTGCCCAACCTGCACACCCTGAGACCACATCTGCTCCCTCTGTGGTCAAACTTGTCAGCCAGGGAATGCTGAGGGCACCTGGGCCAGGTAGAGTCAGCCTGGGGCCCCAGCCTGCCACCTCCTGGCAGGGAGACCCTGAGCAAGCCAGGCCGTCTCTGAGTCTTGATTTCCTCATCTGCACAAGCCAGATGAGTGGTGCTCTAGAAACTCTCCCAGTTCCCACATGTGCTCCACTCCAAGGTTTTCTGGAAGCCTGGAATTAAGACCAGAAGGGCTTCCAGTCCTTCAGAGGCTGGATTCCAGCCGGCCAGCCCCAGCCAGCACCCACAGGGCAAAGGCAGTAAGGGGCTGGGGCCATCCCAAGTGTGGGTTGCCTGGCTGTAGCTCCCATGCCTGCCCCGGGGCATCCAGTCCCCTGACAGTGGCCACTCTCTGGGGAGACTGAGAGGCGGGTTCAACGCAGCAAGAGCTATTAGGAATGGGATTTTGTGATGAGTCTGGATGCAGGCATGTGGCGGGGGGTTCATGTGGGGTGAGTGCATGTGTGTTGGAGTGTGTGTCTCTGAGGGAAGTACAGGAGTGGACATGAGTATACACAAGGTCAGTGTGTGAGTGTTTATGTGGAGGAGTGTGTATGTGGGTGTGTAAGGGTGTACACAATGCATGGGTATGTATGTGAGTGCGTGTTTGAGAGGAGAGTGTGGCGTGTGTGGATGAGTGTGTAGGGTGTACGTGTGTGTGCACATGCCCAGGCAGAATCCCACTCTGGTTGGAGGAAGGGAGTGTAAGTCCTGCAGGAAGGCAGATGCAGGGGAGGTCTTCCCTGCCAGTGATTCTAGAAACAAGTGCCCTTCACAACAGTAACCCCGAAGCCTTCTCACCATCCCCAGGCCATAAGAAATCTTTGCCTGGATGGCACCCATACACATCAGACTCAACCCATCAGGATCAAATCGATTTCTCCAGCCCCTGCACTTCCCCAACCCTACCCCTCAAGCTCTATAGAAGCCCCATGGCCTCAGAGGTCCAGGTCAGCATCCCAGGAACCTTCTTGGAATTTTACCTCTTGCTCTCTCTCCTTCACCATCTCTCTCCAGCCCTTCACCCACTTGTGCTGTTTTTACATTGCCAACATCCACCACCACCCACTACTCCATCCCATTGTCCCAGCTGTGTCTGCGGCCCTCCTGTCCCGGCCTGGGCCACTGCTGTAGTCCCTCACTGTCCCCACCTGCTGCCTGGCCTATGCTGCCTGTACTCTCCACCAGGCCCCTTCCGAGTGCCAGCCCTGTGGACCTGCAGAGCTTCCCTGGCTCCCAGCAGTGGCAGGGACAAGTTTTCTGGCCACAGGCATCTCCCAGAGGCCCTACTATTTCTGGGGAGCCCTCAGAACTGATGAATTGCTGACCTCTAAGCTGGGATACTCACCAAATTACTTGACCTGACTGTGTCCCAGTGAGCAACCCTGCCAGCATGCCACACTAGACATGTTGAAAATATGTCACACTAGACGTACACAATAGATGTGTTGAAAATAACAAACCCCCATTTTATGAATCAGATCCTACATAAAAGGGGTTCTATGATGAGCCTTACAACAAAAAATGGAGGGGTTTTACCATATCATACTTGCTTAAAGCCAAGCTAAGCTCTATGGTCCAGTGGAAAGAACAGAGACTTTGGATCCAAACAGAGCCGAATATGAATTCTGCATACATCATACAGCCACACCAGCTGTGTGACCTTGAGCACCTCATGTAAATTCTCTGAACTTCCTCTGCCTCTGTTTCTCCAGCTCTAAAATGGAATTAATAATCCCTACTTCATTGAGCTGTTTATTTGGTTTTTGTTTTGTTTTGTTTTTTTGAGATGGAGTCTCGCTCTGTGCCCCAGGCTGGAGTGCAGTGGCATGATCTCCGCTCACTGCAACCCCCGCCTCCCAGATTCAAGGGATTCTCCTGCCTCAGCCTCCCAACTAGTTCGGACTACAGGTGCCAGCCATCATGCCCAGCTAATTTTTGTATTTTTAGTAGAGACGGGGTTTCACCATGTGGGTCAGGCTGGTCTCAAACCCCTGACCTCATGTGATCCACCTGCCTTGGCCTCTCAAAGTGCTGGGATTACAGGCATGAGCCACCATGCCTAGCCAGTACTTCACTGAGTTTTAATGAGAGAGAAATGATGCA